TAGTACTCAGGGGTGACAAGGCATTTTCATTTTGATCCTTTATCAAGGATAAATGGAGATATCTGTTAGCAACAACATCCATATACCATCGGGTGAACTATGTGCTCAGTTGTCACCCTTATTCTATAAAAAAAAAACAATTTAAGATATTTTTTGATTCCGTAGCCCAAAAGAAAAAAAAGAACCCTTATTTCGATACCTCCCACGTAAGTTGTTGTATCCCCAAAACTGCAATTTTACAGTAGAGCATTTTAAAGATTCAAATTGGTCTAAAAACTGCATTTATTATTTTATCTTTGTGAAATTTAGTATGTGTATATAATTTGTAGTATTTTAGACAATACTGAAAGATAGTTTTAAAAAATATGTATATTTTCTGAGATATCGTTCATACAACTTTTTACCGCGGAGTACAGGCTGCGTCAGTTGTTGTATCTCATACTTACAACATTACACCGCGGAGTTTAGATTTCGTCAGTTTTTGTATATGATAGTTACAACAATATTCACTGAAAAATATAAGTCTAACTCCACTGTATGTGGTTATAACTATATGTATATTGGTTAAAAATTAAGTGTGTATTATTGTCTGTGCACAAATACAAAGTTCAGAAATAAAAAAAAATATTATCAAGTATGAATTTCTTTACTTTTTTAATAGGAACGACTCTTTTAGATATATTTATGATCGTTTTATGAACATTACAATAAAAGTATTTAAATTCATATATTTTGCACTAAGATCTTAGAAAACATTATAAAAAATTAAAAGCAAACATTAGTTACACTTACAGAAATAGATTACGTCTTCCATTACTAGAAAATAAAATGTAAACAAAACAATCATAGTAAGTTTACTTAGAAAGATAAAAAACGCTTTTGTATATACTTAAATTTTTATCTAAAAAAATTAAATCATAGCTTACTAACTTAATTTAGCTATATTTTATTAATTTAACAAATTCTTCTTAAGAACTTATTAAAATATTATCGTAAAAAATCAACATTATGGAATTTTAATTATAAAATATTACTTATACTTTGATAACTTCTATGAGATTAAATTAAAATCAAGATAACTAGAAATCAGTAAGTATTTATATAATTATTGGCATTGTAACTATCCTTGGTTTCTTTTGAAGTTTAAAATAAACACAATTTTCAAAATCATTATTGAAACATTAAGCAATTGAGTTAATTTCAATTAAAGAAACCTAAGTTTTGATTTAGCTTTAAATCAGTTTTTACTGATTTAAAGCTAAATCAAAACTTAGACTTACTAATATTGTTTTTATGAGAATCAATTATAAAAACAAAGGTGCATAGTTAAAATAAATTTAAGTATGTTAAAACAGAAAAGACTAACTGTGTATTACTCTGAATTAGAAAAATTAACATCATTATGAGTGTCTCCAATAAAAGATAGACTCCTGAAAAAGTCATGATATGTAGCTGGAATAATTCCACTGAGACAGAGACTCATTAAATCATCATATTTTGCTTTTGTTAGGGGAAGATGGTTGGAATAGAGAGGACATAGCTCAGTCACACTATTTCTTTAGCGTCGTCGGGTATGTGTTTTAATGGCAATCGTCACTGAATAATCAATTGTACCGATAGTCAATTTTAAAAGAATCTTCTGCACATACCCACACTTCATTTATTTTGTTCCAAATAGACGTAGTTAAACTACATCTGTTCGTATATTTTTTGACCAATTACACCCGTTCAAAAGTTATTTATAATTAAAAAAATTGGTATGTTTCATTCCTATGACGTTATATGGTTTTTCATCCTGTTTCGCCCATCTAACCACGCTAAACAATTCCAGAGGGACATAAATAAGTTTATTTTAGACGAACGTTCTATTAAAGCATGATCGCTGTCACCCTCTGATTAGGTACGTCCCTTTTCGAGAAAACTATGTTTTAAAGCAATGTTAAGTTTATGCCCAATGTAGGCATAAAACGCAAACACAATGCGATTGTGGTTCTGACCGGCACAATTATCAGACCAGAATCTAAATTCTTCTGCGCCCTATTTATGAATGTTTTGTATAAAATGAGAAAGACAGCTGCAGCTTGCAGCTCGGCTAAAACCTTCTTTCTTTCTTCTTCACTTAATTCACTAAAACACTTCTTGCGGCAGCAACATTGTGGGCCCAATTTTTTTACTTGCTTCTGTTTTATCTTTTCTCGATATATATTGATTTTCCAAATTACGTAAACAATTTTTCTTATTTATTATCTATCCATCCATTAAAACGTCTTTTTCTAATATTCCTTTTATTTTTCCTTGATTATCGACGGCAACCGCTTGTACTGGGACTATTATTTGAAATATCAGACAGTGGAGTATTGTTCATTGTTGGATACGGCAAGCAGCTAGACAGACATGCTAGTGAGGGTTGAGGTGAAATATAGAACGCTCATAAATTTTCCTTTTGCATATTATAATATGGGCAGAAATCATTATCACAATCGTCGTCCAAGTGATTGATACTACAAGTAGGGGAAGGGTGTAGTGTCTCAAGATTTACAGTACCAGAATCTGTTGCTACCTCTTAGTTATTGTTATAGATGTCTCCATTTATTATATTCAACAACTCATTTAGTTTAGAATTAATACAACTTATTGTTAATGAATACTCTGAAACAGTTATAAAACTTTAATTCTATTGCTTCTAAGACCCAATTTTAGAATAGACTTTAGATATACAACATTAATTTTAAGTAAAAAAAAAAGTAATAGCTACGTAAAGTATGGCATGTAATTATACAACAAAGTTTTGAATAACAACTCCCGAAGTAAAGTGTTGTATTTATTACATCCAACAAAATTTTTATTTTAATGTAAACGTAAAAGGTTGAATGTATCACATACAACATTTTTAATGAACGCTCAACAATGTAAACTATTGTAAGTACATACATACAACATTTTAGGTGGATATCACCAGAAAAAATTTAACAAACCAAATTAATGCCAATAAAATAATACAAAAAGAAACACACTTCTGATATTTTGAAGGTTTAAATCATGAAAACTGTTAAGTTCTATTTGATCTAAAGAAACATTGTTATTTTTAATTGGTGTTTCGGATTTACTATTTTGTGTAATCCAATTATTGACCAAATCACAAAGTCTACGCCTTCTACTTATTATTACAGAAAGTTCCATAATTATTTATTTGAATTACTGCTAATTACGTAAGTATATTTTTAGAGAACTTAAATGCTTCCTACATAAGCGCGACCGGATGAGAGTCCGACGTGGTTTGTTGTATGTGACCAATACGAGACGCGAGCGCGTGATTCTCCCCGCCCCGCATTCAGCGTAAACCATTGCAACGATCTATACGATGTTTTAGTCTGTTCTCGGTCTAAAGTTACAACAATTTACGTCTAGCAAATCCTTGAAAAAATTGTACTTACGCTATTTTTCTACTTCGAATGCATTATATAATGTAAATTAGGATAGTTTTCAGTGTAAACGCCAAACGACATTTTTGTGGCATACAACAACCTACGTGGGAGGTATCGATTTATATGATCACTTCCGTTAACCCTCCATCTGTTCGTATGTAAAACCCTTTTTCTTAGAAACGGGTACAGGTATCAAGTTGAAATTAATGTCTAATAATAAAGTCTATCGTGGCTTTAATATGTAAAAAAATTAAACTTCTAAGTCAACGCAATCACATGATACGGCTATTTATGTCAAATATTTTGATATTCGCTAACTCGCTCATCGAAACCTATAGTGTAAATCCCGTTAAATAGAATCATGAAATTTGGCAAGAGGTAAGGTTCCACAGCACATGTAAAGGAAAAAATCTAAGTTCATCAATTTATAGCTATTTAATTTACAAAAAGGTTTTACGATTATCAACTTACATTTGTAATTGGAGCATGAATAGTCACGTAGACTGCTGTATGGAAAAACATTTATTTCCAGTTTAAAGCTAAGTTTTACCATTAGTCTGATTTACTTGTTCGGTGTATACTTTACTTTAACCATAACGTTATTAACAGGTTGTACTTCACGAAAAAATTCTATAACTAAGCGTGATGACTACGTGGCGTAGTGGCTTAGCAATGAGCTGTAGCGCTGGGGCCGCGGGTTCAAATCCAAATTTATTAAGCTTAATAAGCTGATAGATACAATAAATTAAAAAATTTATTGTATCTATCAGCTTTATATTATTGTTTGAGGAATTTTGTATATATATATATTGATATATATGTGTTGTGTGTATATTTATGTATATATGTTTATATATATGTGTATATGTATGTATATGTATATATGTGTATGTATGTATGTATATGTGTATATGTGTATGTATATGTATATATTATATGTGTTACCTTATATTTTATTATGTGTTAGTAATTTATATTATTTCATGTATTACTTAGTTATTTATATCTTATTTTTGCATTTATTATTTGTATATTTATATTGCACCACCTACCACCTACCTATTCATTGTTTGTATTACTTTACACCTTTGGTTGCCTGGAAGAGATCGCTATGTAGCGATAAGGCCGCCAAATTGTACATATTATAATCAGATTTTTGTTATGACATTTGTATATTTGTTCGTGGTGTACAATAAAAGTATATTCATTCATTCATTCATTCATTAATTTGGTACGAACAGGGTATGAAGATTTGAATGCAACTATTTAGACCACTTTCTAGATGTAAAACCATGCCTTGAACTTGTTTCACTCAAAAGGATAAAAACAAAATAAAGAAAATACAGTCGAAAGGTTTGACCAGCTTTATCCTGTGAGTGAGAGTTACACCGCTGTCTTTTAGCTAGAAGAACATGATGCTAAAGGGGAACAAGTAAATTATGTATAAAAGTTAATTAAATAAACTTGATCACCACTTACCATCAGGCGGGATTGTGGTCAAGCGCCAATGCTTGACCACAATATCATAAGAAAAAAAAATTGTTATGAACTTTATATAAACAGGTCTTGATCTAATTATGTTCTTGTAGATGAAATCCATGTCTTTAATCTATACCACATAAGCAGAACCAGCTCAAGTACCAAAAGTACACTGCAGCTGAAGAACACGTTGTAGATTCCGCCAAGTTGAGCTGTTAAACCAAAATGGAGTCAGTTTAGCCTTTGATCTATATATGTTAACAGGTGAAGATAAAACTTTTACCCTTTTCTAGCTTAATGCGCGGTCGTAGTAGTGTGAATTATTTTTAATTGTGTAATTAAATTTTATATGGAGAAGGAGTGCAGAAAGCTAATATTTATATACATTATGTGTTATAATTATGTACATTAGATTAAATAATGTAAATCATACATTGTATACGTTAACACTTTCACTGTCTGGTGTTCAGACACAATAGTAAGACTATAGCAATAACCCATATGGAGGGTAAGTGACAGTGAAAGTGTTAATACTGCCGATGTCAAACACATAATTATCACTTGGACAAATTTTGTCTATTATTGACGTTCATATCAAAGAAGGTGTATATTCACTCAAGTCTCAAAATAAAAATATCCATCTTTTATAGATTAATGTGCAGTTGAAAATGAAATACAGATTACTTAATATACAAACCTAAAAATTTAATGAAAAACGGTCGAATTTCGACCACTAGACCAACAATCGTTTACAGTAATATCTGTTTTAACTGTTATTATTATATGCCACAGTTATAACCGTTTCCCGGTTAAAACTACTTCTTACCGACGAAAGCAGTATACTCTATTTTTGAATAGAGATTTAGCAGAAGTAGTTTTGACTAAAGGAAATTGTAGATATTAACAACAAAGAGGTTTTAAGTATATTATTTTCTTGTGTTTATTTTGTTCTCAAATACATTGTCAATTTACTCAATAACACAATTGGTACAAGTAATATATGATTTCATTTTTATGCAGTATTTACGTATCTTAACTAACAGTTAAGAAAAGATAAGTGAATAGATATTCTTTATTGAAAAATATCGGTTAAAAGTAGTTTTGAATTACGGAAAACTACTGAGTCTAAGAGCTAATAATGACATATAAAATGCTACTACTACATTTTCCACTCAGCTCTGCTTGCGTAGAATCATAAATGCATTCATGTAAGATTTTATTTAAAAAAAATGTTATGTATCACATTAGCATTTTTTCCTGTATCGTGAAAGCAGGTTACAAACATAAATTGCACAAGGACAAACATCCAGACCCGGAACAATTATTTGTAGTCCATAAAAAATATTTGTTCTGAACGTGATTAAAAACCCGCGTACCTCAACGCCGTAAGTCATTGCTAAACCACTGCGCTACAGAACCGTTTTGTATTTACATTTAGTATTAAATGATAAATATAAGATTAAAATATATCAAATATAGAAACGAGTTTAGAACATACTAGTACACCTTAAGTATCTAGTTGACTTTTAAAACAACGACTTCTAGAATGTATACTACTAGACCGGTTAGAACAAAACTGTGTCACAGCTGTAGATCAGGCGGGCGCGGGCACGGGTGGGTGGCTGGCATGGTAAATTTGCCAAAAATAACGTTCTCGATTGACAAAACAAAGTACTAGTGTTCCAGCCCGCTCGTAGTCGACTAAAGGGGTTACGGAGAATTGACCGTAACTTATTGCGCAATGTATTAGTAACGTAGTGCCCGTCTAGTAATATACATAGAAGTCAATGCTTTATTCTTTTACTAATGATGATGATGATGAATATTTTTTTCAAATGTCAACATCACATGGACGCAGTGCGCTCCTGTGATTCTGATTCTGAATATTGTAAAATGCTTGGAAATTCGAAAAGCTGATCCTAAATTACACAAAGTGGTGAAAAACCGCGTGACTAGTAAACATTTTCTTTACCTTGACTCTACCTGATCAGCACGGTTTATATGTGTGTATCTAGATATTTCCTGGAGTACATGATGGCGTACTCTTGAAGGGGTATTAATATTATACAGCAGCTGATTAAGAATTATTTGTAAAAAAATAAACATAAACTAATATTTATGTTTATTTTCAGTAATCATAAACACTGACATCTCAGAGCCTACGGACTTTCATTTGCCACGATCCGGATACACCTTTCTAGCTTCTTTACATCCATAGATCTATATATACATGCTAGCTAAGAAAAATAAATATAAAAAATGTTAATATATACATACCAAATAATTCAAATCGTGTAAAGTATGGCCTTCGGGAAAACATCTTTGTGTTGCGGTTCATTACGTACACCCTTACTATGCTGACCTTAGTATAATCCAAGTCATCGCTGCTGAGGAAAATTTTGGAATATAGAAATGAGTTTCATTTTTCTGGTATATAGGAGGTAGGAAATTTGTGATAACATACTAAAAGTTGTCATAAGGAGAAGACTTTGGGTCCAGATTGTAAGCTGCAGCCGTGAAGTAGTCCACTTCCGTATCACAGGTCATTGGACAGTGATCATCGTATTCACCGTACGAAACTAAAACAGGTAAACGAAATTGTATCAGATTAATTTGAGATATTTATTTTTCTAATTTAATTTTAATATACGCTTTACTCGGCTTACGTTCGTTTTTGAAGGTACTATCTTCCCTTTATCTACTATATCCGCCACCAAGCAGCACTGCGTTTTGTTTCGGTCCTTAGTGTGCCACTGGGCTTACATTTAGGGCCAATATTATTTAATTTGCTTAGAAATGGCGTTTCTATTTGCTTTCAATTTTCTGAACGTGTAGTGATGATTTAAATTTAGTAACAATAATCGAATCAATAGAAGGCTCAGTATTATTATAAGCAGATTTAAATATAATATAGATAGATTAACCTCTACAATGTATAACCCAATAGCAATTACTCAAAAATTAACATTCAATAAAAAATTTTTTCGTTGAATTCTTCAGTTTTATGACTTGACTGGCGAATACGCACCTATGTAAGTTTTTAATTAATTTTGTGATATTATTGATTCCCACTTTGAAATGCTAGTCAATTTCATACACACTCACACAAACACTATCTGATCTGTCTGATTTATTTCATTACGTTTCGATGATTTAACGCCCACACTAGGATTTTCTCTTATATCTTTGAGGCAGTTTACAAACATGAATTTCACAAAAAAAAACACCCAGGTATAGATTATTTGAAAGCTATATAAATACTTATTCTCTGCGGTATTCAAACCTATGGCTCTCAACGCAGCAACTCATTGCTAAACCACCACGCCACGGACGTCTCCGCCAGTCAGGCGTAGCCAGTCTTAATAAAATTCTTTGGTATATATTATAATGCATCAGATGTTGGTGAATCAAAATCAAATAATAAGTAAAAACCCGTTATTAACAATAACCACCTGTAGTATGTCTAGCACACTGCAGTTGCCGAGCGCGACAAACAGGGACCCCAGGTATACGCGGATGTACTACTTGCGAACACCCACATTTCTTGAAAGTTCTTTTTATTTCGCGTTCCATAATGCAGAATTTTCTGTGTACAGATAATTAAACGTTTAATTACATAAAATCCACGCGCTGTCCTAATGCGTGTTGGTAGACTTGACTGCGTAGTTGATCTAGTGGTCCAAAACGCAACCGCTGATTATGAATTTTTGGTTGGGATCCCGAGTTGGGCTAAAAATAATAAGATATTAAATTTCTGTCAATCAATTCTCTGTACTATTCTGGATTCAAGAAGTTGCCGGTGTTTCACTCCCGTGCTTTAGAAATCATGCTAAGCCATTCGCCCTACGCCAGATATTTCTCCGGTCGTGTCGGTTCGCTGTCCCATCGGACTATGAGAGTGAGGGAATAGAGACTGCACCTATATACGCTCGGGAACTATAATTTTGCCCTGTGCATAGATGCCTAGTATCCGTTAAGACTGGTCGACATTACATTATTATTATTTGGGGTTGTATAAATACTTATCTGGTTGGGCTGAATAAATATATATAAAAATGATAAATGTACATAAATATAGTAAAATAAATAAATAATAAATAAAAACCAATGTCTCAGAGCCCCAGTGGCCTTAGATGACTCGAGAGGCTGACCGGGATTAGCTTGTTCGCAGAGACGACTACAGGAATAATTTCGGTCGGTAGACCACCCCACATGTCGGTCACCTCGTGAGCCAGGTCCAAATATTTGGTCTCCTTATCTGTAGCGGCTTTCACGTGGTTCTCGTCATACTTAATGGTAATGTGGACCAAATTAAGATTTCTTGTCTTAATAACCTGTATTTCAGAGACAAATCCCTGGATTTCCTCGAAGAGGTCATTAAAACGTAACCAGTGAAGGGGTGGAATTGTGTCTACGAAAAGCTCCTGAAAAGCCTTATAGAACCTCACATGGAGCTCCTTGTCCTTCAATATGGTCTTCTGGTCGGAAATGCCCTGTGCTGCTGTACTGCCCTTAATAAACAAAATGTCCCTCCTTGTAGAAAGGATCATCCGATCTCCCTTGTATGTCATAACAGTGCGGATTTTTCTATCCAGAGCGTTTAGTTCGGTCTAAGTCCACCTAATTATAGGTACCTTATTATTGTTTTTATTTATTGATAGACTTTACATATTCTCGAAATACTTTATATTTCTCAGACAGTCCACGAGATATTTTAGCGCCGAGCAAGTGGTAAATTAACACTTAAGGTTTCATTGTAACAAAGTGAAAAACAGTGCATACTGAATTTGTGTAGCTCATTGATGAAATTGTAAGTATCTAAGCTGTTAAGACTTCATCTAACTAAAAGTACGACGCACATGAAATAAAATAAGCCTGCATATTCCAAGTTCTATTGTTTGTCTCTCAATTGTTTTCACATTCAGTATTTGAGTTAAACATGGAGATGCTAAAAATTTAATTATTTGCTCGCAATATCGTCGCTGCATTTAGAGACAATACGACTAACGCTACGTTATCATGGTGGAAACGTCTACTTTAAGAATAGCACGAGAAATACTAGACAATACGTACTTTGAATCTCATCAATCGATCTTTAAAATTGTTGAATAGAATAGAATAGAATAATTTTTATTCAATATTGATTACAAGTAATTCTTATTGAAAGTCATTTAGTTGTTCTAAGATAACGCAAGATCTCACATTCCAATCCGATTTAACATAACAAGAACTGCTGTTAGAATGAGTTCTAATAGCAGGTCTTACGGGTAAGTCACTCTCCATACTCGCTGAACTTAGCCCCAAACAATAACCACTTTTTTCTGAATATAAAACTAGTAATGCTAAGAAATATGTTTATTGGTATTTAGTAGTAGTTAATATTTACTATTTGTAATAAAAACTACCGTTTTTTAAATTAAAATGCCCCTACGGGGCGTCACTTGATTATATTGATAATATTTCTAGTGACATGCATATTATAGTAAATAAATGAAAAAAAAATTCTAAAATGATACCTATTATAAACAGGAAAATATTTTAAAGACTCATCAGTCGTGCGGCAGCGTCGCAGATCTTTTTGTAAGGTCAATGTTTCTTCACCTATTTGAAGGCCCACTGTGCTGTAACCAACGAATAGTTCCGTTCCGGGTGTGATAGGTGTTCCATTAATTGATAAATCTACATACCGATGACCGCCTTTTAAAGACAACTAAAAAATCAAAAAGTTAAAAATCAATTTTTAAACGTAATAACTGTCAAGTGATGTAGAGATAAGATAATTACCACATTTCTTCTCGTGGATGTCGTGAGAGGTGCTATTTTGGGAAAGGTCAGAATCTCATGGCTGTATATAGCAGAAATAATGTTCACTTTATTCCGACAGCCAAAACCGTAATTCGGCTAAAATGTGGGAGTATGTCTAAAATCAACATTCTGTGACGAATACACAAAATCGAGTTTAGGAAGTCAGGGAATCTTACTAGCATTTACCTTAATCTAACCTTTCGGTACATCGGACAATAAACATTTTAGTCAAATATTTAAATTTTTAAGCTCAGCTGCGAGCTTAAAAATTCGAATTTTTGATTATATATTGAAAATCTTAATTTTAAATTATGTCAAATGCATCATCACCACGCTTGGTAGATCTCCGACACAAACTTAAATAAACACATTAATACGTTAAACGGATATTTTTACAAACATTGACCAACTAAATAAGTATATGTAAAAACATTTTAAGGGGATAGCCCTTTCAAATGTTATTAATATCAAATTGTTTGTCATTTATTCCAGATTGATTCCAAATTTAAATAAAAGAAAAATAAAATGTGTTGGCGGTAAAAATTGAGTTGAACTAGAGGGGCCGAATTTCGTACTCAGAGTAATTGTTTTTTTTTTTGTTGGAAATCGCTATTTAAACATCCTTTTGATTTAACTTGGTTTGATTGTCATAATTCGATATTTTATTGCAATGAAACGTCGACATATAACTGAAAAAGAGATGTTGAGAGCAGTAGTAATCCTGCAGCATGGTTCTTTTCAACGTGAAATCGCTGTGGAATTAGGCACCAGACAAAATGAGACAGACATCGAGGTGATTGCATAATTTTTCTGTTTCGCTGATTTCATCTACTAAAAATTTACATGATTAATTAAATACTACTACAATATGATATTCTAATCATTAGTGCTAACGTTACCCATTTATAAGAAAGATTTATATCAAATGGTGTCGCCAGACTTTGGTTGATGACTAACATGAGAGCACTGGTGAAACCTGAACTTCCATACCATTTCCGCGCAGGTGTTTTCCGTTGTAAATGAACGTCTTTCATTTCCCTGAAAGATTTTTAAGAAGCTTGTATAATCGGTATATTCTATCTAATACCTAGGCTTTCTATAAAACACCTAAAACGATCAGGCAATGATTGAAATTTCCTCTAAACTTTATAAGGGTATTTTATAGAATAATAAATGGAAAGCAATGTGCGTAATATCCATAGATGTGGTTTGCGTTAGAGTCCACGTGGCCAGTAGTAAACGCGTAACGACTTTATTTACTTTTGTTCAGTTAGATGACGATTCAAAAACCGTTTACAAAATGCAGTAAGCAATTATTGGCAAACGTGGTAGAGTCATACTGCAGCTATAATATGATTGTAACAGTAATGGGTCGACTCGGCCGGAGAAGGACCACGCTTTCACAGAACACCTATATAGTGTGTGTAGAGAATCGTAGAATCTTTTTACTAGAAAGAAGGCATTCCATCTAACTATTCAGGGTCACAGTACATCTCCAATTTGATTAATCGAGGAGAGGTGTAGGTGTTTGGGTCACAGCGTCTACTTTTCATCAGGTAGATATTTCTTACCCTTATTCTATAAAAAATGTAATAACTATGTCTATTTTCCGCTACATGTCACTTTGCGTATAATTTACATATAATTTAAATGTCCGCGGCTTTGGCCGTACCTTAAACAACTATCGCTATCATAACATAATAGGTGCTTTCGTATTTGTGATATTTTCATTCAATAACTGTATTTTAATTTTTATACATTTACTAATACCACTTATAAATGGCATGAAATGCCCAGAAAATGCCTACATTTTATAGGAAATGTACGTAATAAAGAAACTTCGATCAGTATTTTATATTTAACCTAGTCTCCTAATGGAATTCCATATAAATTCTAGGTATTACATGCATTGCACAAGTAGGTTAGGTTTATGTAGACCAAGTACAAATAAGGCCAAGTGCGAGTCAGACTCGTGCATGAAGAGTTCCGTACCATCGTAAAACAGGTTTCTAGTATGGGAGCCTGCTTTATTTTTTTATTTTTTTTATTTTTTTGTCATAGCAGATAAACATATTCTGTGAAAATTCCAACTATCTACCTATTACGGATCATGAGATACAGCTCGCTGACAGACAGACGGACGGATGGATGGACGGACGGACAGCGGTGGCTTAGTAATAAGGTTACGTTGGTTACTCTTCGGGTAGGGAACCCTAATAAGGACCAAGTATCGATTCACTGCAACCTGCAGTATGATGATAAGAGATCAAGTACAGCATCGCGTATTTCGCAGTATTATAATTTATAATATTTTTTTTTGATCCAAACTATCAAATACCTTATAAAGATCAAAGATAATACAGAAGGTGTGTGGTATGTTAGTTTTATACCCGCATTCGTTTTGAATCTTCCCGATATTTTAAGGATTAGGACAAAACATGTTAATATAAAGGCCGTAAGGTACCGTACGAAAGTGGGAAAAAAATGTGATCGCTATTTTACCTGCAAAATGTAGAAAAACCTTTCTAGAACGTAAAAGGCCTATATACAGCAATTGACTTATAGAGGCTGACGAAGAAGTAAGTATTAAAGAAAATTAAATGTTGTGCACAACAATTTAAGCAAATTGAAAATACTACCAAAAACCTTTTCAAAGAGCGACCATTAAAAACGCAGCCAAATCCGTACACCGTCAGTTCCATTTCGAAAATATCTGTACACTTCACAATTCTTCCGCGCCAGCGACATCTGCCGAGAATGGAAAGGTATATAATTCAAACTATAGTATACCACATGACTTAAGCTGTAGAGTTGAACTTCATCTGGTATTTTTAATAATAACATATACAAGCAAATACCGTGTAATAGTTTCTTCACACGATTCCGTCAGCTTAATTCCAGACGCTTCAACATCCAAACCATTGTACTCAAGAATAGTTTCAATGTTATGTAAATCCGCCAATTTATATGGTACGTCGGGTGAAAAAAATGCTCCTAACTGTTGTATCACTTTTCGTGTATAAGTTTCATTAAAACCAGAAGGATAATCGCTGCGTAGTAATAAAATATTATAAACAAGAAATGTTAAACTTTCCATAACGTTAAGTACTGTTTTTGAAAATATTTTGAATTATACAACACATGTTCGAATAAAAAATTTAAATTTAAGGAAAACATAAATAGACACTTATAGATACAAAGCTTACCTTACAGATAAGTAAAAAATAAAATAAAAACAGTGATAAAAAACTTACAGTTTCTTAATAAAGGCATCGATTCTATGTTCAGGGAATGTAACTACTGGACTTATAACAACTGCAGGAAAAGGTTTGTTTGCGATCTGAGAGCCTATTTTTACGACAAATGTAGGATTATCTTCATAGCGTTGTACCCATATCCACAGAACGACATTACAACAGAAAAAGAGGGCGAACAGTGCCAGTGCCCATTGCCATCTGCAAAATAATTAATATTTAAGAATTTAAAGTTTAACTTTTTAATCGAAACAAAATAAACCAAACTTTTTTTGTAATTGTTATGCTAATTAAAGCTCTCCAAATTGTAACCAGTGGCAAGTTTGGAAACACTATTAATTAAAACATCTAAAAGTATCGGCATAAGATAATTTTGGTAGCTATTTTATAGGTTTAAAGGACAACATAATCCTGGTTTAACTAGCTATTATCTTGGGTCAAATCTATTTCATATATTAGGTAAGGTGCGTTGTGGTAACACCGGACGGATTTTCGACTAGTTAAAAGAGTCTGGCAAAACCTTAATTGTCTCGACATCCGTATACACCAGATTTCTGGAACATTGCGCGAATCGTTAATGATTAAACGTAGTTTAGCACTGATAATAATCTTTTGTTTTTATAAACTCAACGGTTTCTGTTTTAACGTGTGCGAAACAAGACATAAGTACTTTTTAATGTGCATGATGAAAATCAAGGAGTAAGACCAGATTTACATTTAAATTCACATCTACTGCTTTGAGAACAAAGTTCGTAAAAGGTATTTGTCCTATATTTACCGCTCAAAAACATATTTCAATACGACCTATAAATTATGAGATACATAAATGTTCCAAAGGATTATTTTTTCTGTGGTAAATAAAAGTACAATAGATTTGATAGTGATCCCGAGTCCCATTTCCATAGTAACTTGAGCAATCTTCGATATAATATACACGACAAATGAAAGTTTCATAACCACTGCTATATTTGTAACGGGTAAAGATCGGATAAAATTCATCCGATCTTTACTCGCGCGGGGAAACATCGGATCTCGGCCTATATCGATCTGAGTCCTGTTGGAATCAGTTCGATCTGGCTACAACTCCATAAAACTTCGTATTCAGTCAAAATAATTCTATATGAAGCTATATTCTCGCTAAAAATCAAAAACTAAAAGTGATAGGGAAAGACCGGATGGACAAAAAAATACAAAATTACCCTGTTTTATAAAATGCCGCGCAGCACACGTCCTATTTCTCAAAGCGACTGGCGGGAACTTGGGGTCAGAGCAGAATGAAATGGCGTCGTGTAACTTATTGCTAACATTTAAAGATATAGCATAATTATGATCTTGCCCCATCAACGATCTTACCCCAACGCACTTTTGTAATGAAAACTTGGTACCTTCTAAAAGATTTAAAGTATTGTCCATTTACCTTCAACATACGTAACCAATGATAAAAATGAACATCTTATGGAAACTATTTTTCATATCATATAAAAATAATAATATTATGGACCAAGTAAGCAATTTTTTTCATTCTGGTGTAACAAATATTACTATTGTTTATACATCGATTATTGATAGTTCAATACTTGATGGCAAGGGAATAAATGATTCAATCTTGTTATCATCATCATCATCATCATTACAGCCCTTCACAAGTCCACTGCTGAACATAGGCCTCCCCCAAAGAATGCCACAAAGCACGGTCCTGAGCCACCTGCATCCATCGACTTCCTGCATGTCTTACCAGGTCGTCACTCCATCTCGTGGGGGGACGCCCTACACTTCGCCTACCGGTACGAGGCCGCCACTCGAGAACCTTTCTTCTCCATCGGTTGTCGGTTCTTCGAGCTATATGGCCGGCCCACTGCCACTTCAGCTTACTAATCCGTTGGGCTATGTCGATTACTCTGGTTCTACTGCGGATATCCTCATCCCTAAGTTTATCACGCAGAGAAACTCCGAGCATAGCCCTCTCCATAGCTGTTGTTTGTTTATTGTTATCATACGTAACGAATATGCACTATACCTATGACTTGATGCAGCGAGTTTCTTTACACCATGTACTTGTGCTTCTTTCAGTAGCTCCTTATAGTTCATTTTGTGATCAGGTATCTATTAAGCTGAAATCCGTATTACCAAATGATTTAAATTCATCCAGAAAATATTTATAAAAAAAGTGGTTGGTAATTTTCATAATTTATATCAATCATTTTGACAGTAACTTTGGCAGATAAAATCTCTTCAATCCGTTAACGTCTACGATAATTTATTGTTCCTATGAATATTTAAATTATTTTATGTTGATATTTAGAGGCCAATTTTGGCTTACAAATTTTAAGAAAAATATTATAAATATATAAGTCATTTATTATAATAATTATTTTTTGGTTTAAGATATAATCCTCATTTATAAATGAAAATATTTCTGCTGCGTCGTTGTTAGCTGACAAAACATAACAACTATATACAATTTTTATCAATATGGAATAAATCCGAGGCATAATTTGATAAAATTTCGTTTATAGAACAAAATGCTTTTATGTAGTCCGTAAATGATTGTTTCAGGGATAGATGCGGGGTACAGCACATTTAAAGTCAACGTGAAGCTATGTAATATAAAGACTTTTAAGTGTTGTGGAGATCTGTTTAGTTTTTTAATGAATATCTTTACTCCGTTTTTTCCAGATTTCTTACAGTGTTAAAATTGTACCAACGGTAGGCCGTTTAAAGGTAAAAGGGGATTAAATTAACATATTAAACGATACTATAGTAAAAGTATTTCTGCTTCACAGCGTACCGTAGACATTCGTAACTCCGCCGCGGGGCTGCGGATGTGTGCGAAAGCGTTCCCGTGGCCCTGCCAATTTGCGATGAAGGTGGAACACCATGGGGTTTTAGTCAGTTCGAGTCCGACATAACCCGTCCTTGCCCCCGCGAGGCGGGTATGCGTAGGCATTTCCCCATGTAAAAAAGGAGCGGTGATTTGTCAACCCCATCAGTACCACTGTGGTAGCAACGTCGACAAGTTTGGGCTTCACAAACTTTCATGTAAGAAAAGTGCTAGTAGGTTTTCACGGCACGGTTCTTTGAACGATAGCATCCGAAGGGCTCTTGTCTCTATAAATGTTCACTCGGTTTTAGAGCCTTGTGGGAATATTTAAAGACGATGGCACGAGACCCGACGGGAAAGTATGGCATTAGTCCCTTGGGAGAGAGGTAAAGCCCTAGTGTGGGATGCTACTTGCGTAGACAGCCGGGTTTAAAGCTGGGGCGGCATCATAGGCAGCTGAACTGAGTAAGTGGCGCAAATATGAGTATCTGAAAGATGATTACATATTTGTACCATTTGCTGTAAAGACTATCGGTACGTGGGGTCTACGTGCGGTGAATTTTTAAAGGAACTCTACCGCGACTGGTCGATGCTGCTGGTGATAAGAGTTCTTTTCTCGCTCAAAGGCTAAGTGTAACCATTCAGCGGGGAAACGCAGCCAGGTTTCTTGGATCGACACCGCGGGAGTAGGATTGTATGATATTTTTTTTAAGTCTTTTAAAAACGTTACCCCCACACTAGGATTTTATCTTGTATCGTGGAGGCAGTTTACAAACATAAATTGCACAAGGACAAACACCCAGACCCGGAACAATTATTTGTAGGCCTTACAAATACTTGTTCCGTACGGGATTTGAACTTGCGGCTGGGGCCGCTACAGCTCATTGCTAAGCCAGTACGTAGTCATCACGCTTAGATATAGAATTTTTTCGTGAATTACAACATATTTAGTAACATTATGGCTAAAGTATACACCTTTATTGTAGTATTTGAATAGTAGCCATAGTTAGTGTTCACGTCCAACGCTGGTTTCGGAATTTGACGCCAGAGGGCGCTCGGCTCGGCGCCATACCGGTTTTGACGTTCGGTCGAGTGGTGTGGCGAGGGCGCGCGAGCGGAGGAGTCGTTTGCCAGCTGTGCTTGGGACAGCACGCTGTCATTTTTTGTGCGGGAACGCGGAATAGTATAGGCACGTCTAGTAAATATACGGTCTAGCATTCGTATCGCGCATTCCTTGTTTGAGAGCTTTTCCCGGGACTTCTTGTGTCTAACTCAGAATCTGTATAAGGGTATTCGACAATATTAGCTACTAGTGCGGCATTTGATATTCTAGAAATAATTGTTGCCACGCGAAACGGTAGTGAACTTTGATCCGGACACTCGTGTTCGTGCGGTGTGTTACGATTTTGCTTATAGTAACAGGATTTCGTATAGACCGACATTCTGTATTTGTGTTGGGTGTTACGCTTTATAACAAATTAGAGTTAGTGGCTTCTTGAAGTTAGTTAATTGTGCGATAAAGTTAAGGACTGTCCTCGTGACGAACGAATAAAGTGACCGTGGACGACTCCGCAGAAGATTATCACAATTTGGAGCGGTGCTGTAGTTCGAGCTGCTGCCGACGGCAACGGTCTCATAAGGTCTACCACACTCAGTCACACACATATCACTGACCCTGACTTCCCATGCACCATACAACCACAAGCGACCTGACCGAACCCTGAGGGACCAGTCGCCTTGGATATAGGTAGGTAAGCTCAGTTTTAATATTCTCCCTGTTGAATGGCAGTAGGATAGAACGCTCCCCCTTATTGTTTATTGTAATTAGAGATTTTCCACTTTGGCTTTAGGAGGCCCGACCTGCATCTGCTTGTGGGAGAGTCTGCAGCTGCACGCCGTAACAATTTGGTAGCCGAGCGTGGTTCCGGGTTCGATTCCCTGGTCGATCCCGACCATAGTGTTTGATAAAAATTAAACAATTCTGGTGGCAGGGAGCGTTGGTTTAATTGATTTCATTTTGTGTCTACAACCACGCCCGTCCGTTATACGTAAAATATTTTTTTTTGTACTTAATAATAACATTATTTTCCTTTGTTGCTTGCTTATTTGGTTAGCGGGTAGATTTGAAAAGCCGCACCCATTTAGGGCGCAAGCGGGAGTTTTTCTAGGGGTATGCGTCATGTAGGTAGATGGTTATTATCACGTAATCGGTTAATTATCGTTGTCGGATAGTTGTAGTGGATTACTTATCGAAGGGTCGATTTCCGAGCGAGGCATTTTTTGTTGATCGACCGTGATGTGTATCTTTAGTCGTATTGTAATTTGTATTTGAGCTAAAGAGTAGTCATTTGTATTTGCGCAATTTGAATTTAACTTAATTTTATCGCACTAGTATTTGTTATTTGTTGATTTGATTTGTGACTTTTCTTTTGTGCTAACTTGTATTTAATTAATAAGTAGTAGTTCGTATTGGTGTAATTTCTATTAACTCGATTTGATAGGAACTGCATTTGTTAACTGTTAATTTTTTTTGTATTTGTTAGTTGTTATTTTGTAATTTGTGCTCGAGCCGCGTCGTAATTTGTATTTAGTAGTGATATCATCGCCCAAGCTACCAATCCGTTGCCTGCGGACTAAGTTACGCTGGGCCACCAGCGCCCATGCTTTGATAGGTCGACCGGATAGGGTCCATAACTTGATGAAGCGGCACGAGCAGGTCGATGCTCGAAGGGCCGCAATGGTGGAGGCTTACGCTGAGCTCAAGGATTCGGATGTGGAAAGGGGAGTCCTGGACTCCTGCTCCGCGGACTACGAGCAGTTCTTTTCGCTCACGGACGAGTTGATCGAGGATGAAGGCAGGTATGCCGAGGAGGCGCATGAAGCTCGGATGAGTGGCCTGCCCGAGTCCTCTCGGAGGCAGCCTCAGCCGGAGCTGTTGGGACGACTCCCAACTCTGGACCTGCCATGGTTCTCCGGGGTCTTTTCCGAATGGCCGACTGACTTGACTCCGAGCCAGAAGATGGCGTACCTCCTGGCCTCGCTGGAGGGGGAGGCCCTGGGCGTCGTCGGCCACTTAGGATTGTCGGACGACGCCTACCAGACTGCTCGAGACCTTCTAGCCAGAAGATACGCCAACGTCGGCGAATTGCGGTCGAACATGTTAAAGCAGCTTCTAAGCCTCCCGCTGCTTAGTGACCGGGCCAGACTACGTCCAGACCTGTTGAATCCAGTCTTGGTGGCCTGTAATACGTTGAGGCGGCTGGATTTACCAGTGGGCGAATGGGCCTTTTTGCTGCTCCGCATCGTGCTGTCCCGTCTACCTCTCGACCTTCGAATACATTTTGAGGAGAGGTACGGCGAAGATGGGGCCTCCTATGTTCTACCCTTCAATGACCTGCTGCGGTTTTTGAAGGAGCAGTGCAGGCAATTTGAGAACGCGGCGGGCACCGTTGACGACCTACAAGCCGTGCCCAGTGAGAGGCGGAATCCGCCGGGCAAGTCGTCGTTAACCTCCCCCCCCCAGGCCTATCGGAGCTCCCGCGATAGGGCGTCGCTCCCTACCATCTTACAGTGGCCTAGCAGCCAGAGAGGCGCCCCCCTGCTCCTATTGTCGAGCATCTGATCACCGGGTATCATCGTGCCCGAAATTATTAAGTAAGCCGGTTCCGGCGAGGCGAACTATCGCCAAGTAGCGCCGCTGGTGCTACTCATGTTTGGAAGGGCATCTCCAGCGAGACTGTCTGCACCGGCGGCCCTGTCTGCATTGCCAGGGCAACCACCATGCAGTTTTGTGCCTGGGTGCGAACGGCGTCTCCTCTCGGGGCTCTGCCAGGCCCTCGACCCCCACGGGCGGGGGCGATCAGCCACGATCTCTGACGGGCGACTCTCGGCGCCTGCCGGCCAGCCACCAGGCCCCTAGGTTTGAAAGGGGTCCCTCCCCTGACCAGTCGGGGGGTATTTTCCCCAGGGGCGGGGGTGTCGTCGCCCCCCCTCAACGTGTGGAGAGGAACTTCACGGCCACTCATCAGTCCGCTAGACCCTTCTCACTCCCGTTAGCTGAGTGGCCGCAACTGGTGTACTACCGTTCCTCATTTGATGGAGGCGGCCTTAACTAGCTGCCGCCTGAGCTCCCACCACGGCCACCTCCACTGAGACTTGAGCCGTCAACAGTCCACTTGTCAAACTGTTCTGTTGCCGACGGCCTAATTGAAGGAAGGCGTACAGCCCGAGTGGTGACGGTTAGCGGTTTGCGCTCTATTGGTCTCTG